GCGTCGGCTTCCGAGGACGATGTCGCTGGGGGGAGCCAGAGCGGGTCTATAATAGGCAGAGGCAAAGGGAGGGCCGTCGCTCCTCACGCTACCTCGTCGAGCCCACGCAAAAACATCTCTCGTTCATCTTCGGTGTCTCGCGCTACCTCTCCGTCCAATTATGTCTCTTCAGCATATACGTCGCGCGCCGCCTCTCCTTCCCCATCCTTCTTGCGTTCGGAGGGTATGTCGCATTCGTCGGACAGCGACTCTGATTCCGAGGATTCACTGTACGAGCACCAGCACCACGTAAACCCCGCCCGGAATCTGGAGAAACTGGTCTCATTGGCTCGAATGGCTCTGTCCGCAGCTGAAGATATGCGAAAGAAAGGAGTGATGCGGGAAGACGAACCACCTCTACCGAAGTCTTTCCTGACTGGAGTTATTGTCGAATCTAGGAAACAGCGAATGAAACGGCCGGACGCGAGCCCGAGCAAGAAAAGCAGCGCCAAGGCACTGGAGTCTGGAACCGACGCTGAGGATGGGGAAGAAGTCACTATCATTCGTGCTCTACCGGAGCGTCGTCTCGGGCAGGTTTCTGAGGAACCTGTCTCCCGATCGCGTTCATGGATGGACACGATATTGTCTGGTCCGCCTGGTCCACAGCCTCAAGCTTTGACATCACAGGCGTCCAGTTCTTCTATCGCTACTGATAGCGATAATCCATTTGATGACGGTCGATTGTTCAAGAGAACGAATTCGCAGCCTCTGCTGAGTATGACCAATACGCTTCGCCGCCCGGACATAACCAACTCGCTCCCTTCTGTCCAGTCGGAACCATCTCTGGAGACTGTTCTTGCTGCATACGACATGACACCTTCGCGAGCCCGTACTATGCATCTTAACGTGTCGCCGAGCAAAAACCGGATATTTGAAACCCCCTCACGGTCACGGTTATTTGGTACCCCTAGCCGGACGGGTCGCGCGAAAGAGGTTGAGGAAGTGGACGAGAATCATGTTCCTAGTCAGGAATTTGACAATTGGCTTTCCGAGCAGCAGACGGTCGTCCTCAAAGCGCTTCACAATGCGCCTTGGGCCGCACCTCTTGAGACCTCTACGGGGGCCGAACCCCCACAGGCGGGGGAGAAGACAACCGGCGTCTGGGTAGAAGGCGACAAGAACGAGACAGAAGCTGTAACCAAGCTACGCGCTCTTTTGAGACGTACCGTGGAGACAGGCGAAGGAAACAGTTGTTTGTTAGTTGGGCCGCGAGGGAGCGGGAAGACTAGGGTGTGTATGCTCCTTGGTCCCGGTATGAAGGATTGAGACTAAATAGTCTTTTCTTAGACCGTAATGAGTGCTTTGCACACTCTCACCCAGGCGCCTCGCTGGCAACCTCCTCCGTCGTCGACGCCGCCCCCCGCTATTGTGCCCCAAACCCCAAGTAAACACGCTGGAAAATCTAAGCAGGCAACCAGCCGGGCTCTACAGCGCCCCCAGTCTCCACTTTCGCGTCCGCCAGCACCGCCAGTCCTCCAGGCGCCAATAGTAATCTACTTGTCTGGTTATGCACAAACAAACGACCGGCTCGCGATGCGCGAGATTGCACGGCAGCTCGTTCTCCAGAGTGGCGAGGCACTGGATATCCCGTTAGGCGACGAGGAAGAAGACGGGACCGATGGCCCTTCTGGTGTTTCAGTCGTGAGTTGGCCAACTAAATACCAAAGTTTTATTAAAAACTTGATAACTCCAGCCAACAGCCACCCACTTACCACAAATTGTGGGAGCGTTGGCGAGACAAGCTAAACCAGTCGTAGTCGTATTAGACGCCTTTGACCTATTCGCGGAGCACGCTCGACAGGCACTATTGTATTGTTTGCTTGATACAGTGCAATCGTGCAGAGCCGGAGCAGGTTCGCGTGGACTGGCAGTAGTAGGCGTTACGAGCCGAATTGTGAGTTTTTATCTCGGCTGTACATAAATATCTAACTATTTCGTAGGACTGTCTCACGATGCTCGAGAAGCGAGTCAAGTCTAGGTTTTCCCATCGAATTATCCGAATTTCGCCTCCTTCGCTAGACTCTTACCTGAACCTCGTCCGTGCGACAATAATGGTGCCAGATGTGCTCGACATGCCCCGCACGCAAACCACACCGAAGAAAGGCAAACAACGCGATGATACGACGCGCAAGACTTGGTGCACAAAATGGAAGGATGCTGTCGAGGTAAGTCCCTACAGACTTTCAGTCTGCCCCATACTAACAGCCACACAGAGAGTGCTCTCCGATAGGCAATTTAAGCAAGTACTCGAGGACGCATTTGAACTTTCGAGGGACGTTAGGCTACTGTTGCGAATACTAGTAAGTATCTTGTCAGACATCTCGATCCCATACCAGTGATTAACAGCCATGCTAGTCGGGTGCTGTAACAAGCTTGACTCCTACGTCCCCATGGTTGACTGTTGGGGCCGTTGCTCGTAGTGTTCAAACACAATGTGCACCTTCGCCATTTACCTTTCTCCAAGGTACGTTGAGCCTGTGTTATCACCCTAACCCGACTAACAATCGGTGGCCAGAACTGGCCTATCCTCCCGTTGCACTTCTCGTCGCGACCCAGCACGCCCACGACCGCGGCCACGACGCATTTACATTCAAGATGCTCTGTGCAGAAATCAAGCGAGAACTCGGGAATGAAGCAGTCACCAAAGCATTGGTTCAGATGCAAGGCCGTGGCCTTGGGTTAATGCGTGTTCCTGACTCGGTGCTCGAGGCGGTACGTCACTCGTGGAAAACCAGGTCCTAGGCTGACTGATGTGTACTCATACTGATTCACACTCATACCAGGCATTTGAGAGCCTGGTGGTGCGCAATGTTCTGGTGCTTGCTGGTCCAGCATCACACTCGACTGGGCGCGTGTTTCTCAAGTACCGATGTGCGCCAGAGCGATCGGACATCAAGGATGCCGTTGACCGCCTGGGTCACAGCGCGTTGAAGAGATGGTTCGTCCAGGGCGCGTCGAACTAATTCAAGAATTTGAGTATTTGGTTTGAGGGCCACGTAATTCTAGGGCTGGACTTGAGCATTTGCTGTCTCGCTACATGCATGTATTCTTATGTCATTTGTACCATGGTTTTGGATTATACACGATCTACAGGCGCTGGGATAAATGTCAGTAATCTTCAAGGGAGATCAAAGTCCGTCAGGAGCTTATAGTCGGCCATGCGACCAGGGGCAGAAGGACTGTCTGGTTTTCGCCTCCTGCATCGCGCAGTTGGCGGTCAGTGGAGGATCACTCGAGCTAGGCGACCTTGTACGTACTTTTCGCCTGCTGCGAGAGACGGGAACGACCCAAATAGTGAAGGATGTTTCGGCAATGGTGATTCGCTAAAGAGACAGGGCGTAACAATGATTAGGTTCTAGGGCCAAGGCATTGATAAGGTGACTTGCGAGAAATAGGGATGATTTAGTGCATCCTCGGCGCTGATGCGTTGGGCTGGGTCATATGCCAGGAGCGCAGATAGGAGGTCGAGCCCTGCACGGGTGAGGTGTGGAAATCGAGTGCGCAGGGTAGATGGTCTGTGTATATTACATTAGATTTGGTCAAAATGCGTGATGATGCGAGGGTTGGTTAAGTGTATTGATAGGGGCGAGAAAAGTGATGAACGTACAAGCCTGCGGATATATTAACAGTTCTGGCAAGTGGGAGTTTGGAAAATCCGGGCCAAGAAGTCTCGTCTGGGTGGCCCAGAAGTTTGAAGATCTGCGAAAGAGAGTCGTTGGCCTGGCTTGTTTAGTGTGGGGAAAAATGAGACGTGCCATCGAGAGAAGCTCCATTTCTCCTTTGGCTTGGAAGAGTGGTTCGTGCAAGAGCAGTTCCCCAAATATGCATCCCACAGACCACATATCGACGGCGGTGGAATAGGCGGCTTCTCCTAGTAGCAGTTCCGGAGCTCTGCGGGGCCGTTAAATGGGATGCAACCTGGTATGAAGACGCCATTTACCGATACCACAGCGTCACAACAAGCTGCGTCATATCCCCCAACGGATCTCCAAACGTTCGTGCCAACCCAAAGTCCGCAACCTTAATCTGCCCGCGGTTGTTCATAAGCAAGTTGCTCGTCTTGAGATCCCGGTGCAGGACCCAGTTGGCGTGACAATGCGCGACGGCCGAGATAAGTTGTCTCAAGAGGGTTTTAACCTCTGATTGAAGAAACGGTGCGGGCATTTGCGTAAGGAGTTGTTTGAGGTCATGTTCAATGAAATCCATGACTATGAAGACTCTATGGCGCGTCAGAGATAATAGGGATAGAGGAGCAAAGCTCACTGGGTCAAGGTGTCTCCCACCACGATCTCGCGTACCCCGACGACATGTTCATGCTTGCAGACCATAAGTGCCATGACCTCTCGTAAGCTTGTAATCGGGAACCCGTTCTTCTCCTCGTCGAGTTTGAGCTTTTTGAGAGCAACAATCTCGCCCGTCTCCTTGTCTCGAGCTCGAAAGACAACACCATACGTTCCTTCCTCGATGTGGTTGAGCCGTTCATAGGAGTAGACGGACCGGCAAGGTTGTATAGCTGGATGAGCGGTCCGAAGTGGGACGAATCGACTTCGAGTTGGGACAGTTCCCGCGTGGAGAGGACTTGCATCTGGTCGAAGTGCCCGAGGAGCAGCGTGTCCAGCCGATTCTTCTTCAGGTTCTCGTGAGAGTGCGGGAACGTCGGGAGAAGGCTGGCGAACTCTAGCTGATTTTTTGGAGCGCTTTTTTGGGACGATGTGGATGGGTGGTTCTTCCTCTTCAACATCGTCCCATTTTGACCTCTTGGGAGCGGGGTCTACTTTAGGCGAGGATGGACCTGAGGGCCAAGTCAGTCAGAAAGAAAGGCAAATTTGGGGACAACGTGCCGGCTCCAGGAGTTGACATGAGGAAGTGGCTGTTGAGAGGTGGAGTGACCGTTGGCGCTCCAGGTTGTGGCAGCAAAAGCACACGGTAAAGGTGGGATAATTAGATTTCGATTTATACAAGTTCCTATGGTCTAGTGGTTATGACGCTTCGTTGTGGTTGCAAATTGCAAATTGCACATTACATCCGAAGCAGCCCGTGTTCGATTCACGGTGGGGACAACCTTTTTCCCTTTTTATTCACTCTGGACAGGCATTGAACCCTGTTCCCGTGCTATTTTACATCAATGCAGTCCACAGCCAAACTATTTAAATCCAGTGTCCCCTGAAAACCTCCTAAAAACAAACACTCAGGTACTAAACTCTAGCGGAGATCGGGGTTTCTCCCTGGGGGAAAGATTCAAATAAGTGGAAAAGTGAAGGTGGCTTTCACAGCCTCTGCATGTGATGGAACTTTGAGTTCATGGCCATCCTTTTCCCAGTGTTTTCCCAGGCAGGTAAAGTTTTGAGGAAAACCTCATGGTTATACACCCCCCTGTACTATTTAAAGAATTGGCAACCTACGAATTGTAGGGGCTGTTTAAAAACCTAAGTGCATATAGTTCTATGATTGAAAGCATGGGAGGCTGGGGATGAGTGCAGAGGGCAAGACCCAGCAACACAGGGATTTGTGTGACAGATAAGGCTACTTTGTGATGTGCCACAATGCTTTATCTAACAAATCTTGTTTATTGAGATAATAATCATAGTATCTGATTGGCTAAGCTTTTCACCATCAGTCATATACCGTTACAAAGTAGCCCTATCTGTCACACAAATCCTTTTGTTGCCAGGCCTTGCCCTCTGCACTCATCCCCAGCCTCCCATGTTTTCAATCATAGTACTATATGCACTTAGGTTTTTAAACAGCCCCTACAATTTGTAGGTTGCCAATTATTTATTTGGTTGCTCATTCATGTACATATATAGGAAAAAGTGATGCTTGTCACTGGTTTTGATCGGTGGTTAGATTAAGGTTGGTTCTGAGTGGTTCCTACCTTAAAAGTGTCCTAAAATTAATTATTTGGCATTATCGCTATTGAAATCCAGCTGCGTCGCTTCGCAGAGACGTGTGCATGTTTGGACGACAAAATGCACGTCGCTCCACCTGACCTCTGATCTCCCTGATCCCGGACGGCAAGGACCTTCGCGTCCCGTTTGAGCTTCCTCTTCGGACTTCTACCACCCACCGTGAATATTGGGACCGCCGCCTAACGGATTTTGCGTTCCCGCAATTACACATTCACACTATAAATGCACCTTAAATCGCCTCCATGCTCCCTAACCTTCCTACATTCGCTTAACCTGCGACCTCACAGACTATGAGCGGTACTCAATCTCAACCCTCGGCCACTGCAGTGGTGAGAATTAAATATATCTCCCAACCGGGGCCCTCTGATTCTACAACACACTTTTATTACAGGCGTCAAGCCCAGTGCTTCTTGGGCTCCCTCCTGCCTGCAAACAGCTCATGGATGCTAAAGCCCGAAAAGGTAAGTCGCCAATAGTTTAGGCGTGGCAAGGAACTACAACAGGTGTAACTCTAGGAATGAGCTTCGCAGACGTTGGGAAAGCTATTGGGAAAGACGAGATATGGACTGCTGCACTGTTCTACGGGCAGGCACGTTTCCCGTGTTTATGGCCCTCACTTGACCTTATCTAAACCCCACCTTTCTGCAAGGCCAAACCATCCGCACAAGAACTCGCGAAACTCGGCGAGGTGCTTGACATCCCGTCGCAGTCTCTTACGGATAGCTTGGGTGAGCATTGGTGGCCGACTCGTGGGCTCGGGCCGGACCCTCCCACAGATCCTGTGCTCGCCAGGCTACACGAGGTGCGCCAGCCGATTAAAGCCGGAATGGCATGGTTTCACTGATGGTATTGTAACAGGGCATACAAGTGTATGGGTACCCTATCAAGGCAAGTTAGGCAATTTCTACCCGGAGGACGAATAGGCTGACATTTGGACCCAATCAGGCCGTGATTCATGAAAAGGTAAAATCTAGCTTGAGCTCACGAGAGTCGAGCGAATTAAACTAGTTATACTGACCACGTAATCAGTTCGGAGACGGTATCATGTCCTTCATTGATTGCAAGATCACTGTTAACCGCAAAGCGCACGAGAAGGGAGACCGTGTCGTCCTGACATTCGAGTGAGTTTCCGCCTCTTATGCAGTCGTGGAGAGTCCTAAAGTAGCTGTCTTCCAGCGGTAAATTCCTGCCTTACGCGACTTGGTAAACCAGCCAGAGACCCTTTGACATATCTGTTTGTATGAAAAATCGATCTTCAATTAATTCTGTACCGCGAGTGAAATTAAACCTGATCTCAGCGACTGCAGCGTACAAATACGGTACCTGCCTTTAGTGTATGGCTGCGTGGGTCAACTCGAGCCGCTCCGAGTCCCGAACACAAAGCGGAATTCAATCCTTCGCAAATAGAGACCTGGAAACCCTCTTTTCATTATCTAGCATGACGTAGCTGCAATCTAAGGATAACCTCACCAAAATAAGTGGGTTATATGCGCTCGAATAGCCGAGTTTGCACCCACCAGCGGTCAATCAAGTTTTTATAAACACATCTAAACATACACTGGCGCCTGCACTTCCTAGCGTCCCAGTTATCGCCTATATTGGGTGGTAGTCGGCCGAATTTTGTACTATAAACCCGAGTTGAAACTCGCGCCTACCTAATAATTCTCAGAGTTGTTTGATTGTCTCTGAAATGTAACCGATTCAAACCACAATATTAAACTCAGAACCATCGTCTTGCTTATAATTATACACTGTTTGATGAGCTTTGTGTAAAGGAGCGGACGTCTAAATGGGGTTTTTTTTTGTGGGGTCGCGCCGGTGCAACTAAACCAACAAAGGCCCCCAGAGATGGTCTGAGAATGTTGGGCAGCAAAGAGCCGGACGTCTAGCGTAAACTTGGAGGATCATGAAGTTTGGCTGAAAGAAATACTCTAACCCCTATGAAAGAGCAACTCATGTACTCAGTTTGTCACCGCAAATCGAGCGAATTTCCACTGTCACATAGCTACTGGCGAGTCGCGACTAATATAGATGTGCCTGACGTCAGACCTCCCGTGACTGCCATGTACATGAACTTCGCACATTCTCGATCTTCCGCGATCATATCTTCTACCGCTATAAATGCAAATGATAACACCTCCCCCCTCGTTCTCTACTTCGTCCTCTCACACTTGCCTTAGGTACCCTCCCTGATTTTCGCCATGGCCTCAGCCTTTCAACTATTACGTTCTACCACTCGTATCAACATACCCCGCCAACTCACACCTCTGACACGGCCAACTCGTGGTGCGATCCGGTTCAGCTCGTCTACTGCAGTGGTGAGTGCATATGGCTTCATCAAGGAATACTCTCAGTTCTAGTAACACGGCGCATCTTCGCTACAGGCATCAAGCCCGATCCTTCCTGGACTTCCACCAGTATGCAAACAGCTCTTTGATGCCAAGGCACGCAAAGGTGAGTCCACAAGGTTACTGACCCAACCTGGTTATCTCTTCTCTAACCAATCGGAATAATTGCGACCATCTAGGAATGAGTTTTGCGGAAGTGGGAAGAGCTATTGGGAAAGATGAAATATGGACTGCGGCGTTGTTTTACGGGCAGGTGCGTCTCCCCCTCGCCCCGCCTCGTACAACTTAAAACACATTTCTCCGCTTTACTAGGCAAAGCCTTCTGCACAGGATCTCGCTAAACTGGGCGAAGCACTCGATGTACCGTTTCAATCTCTCACAGACAGCCTGGGCGAACATTGGTGGCCGACACGCGGGCTTGGACCAGATCCTCCGCAAGATCCTGTGATCTACCGGTTGCACGAGGTACGTTAGTGTATTAAATCTATGCGGGAGAAACATGCAAGGATTGAGAGTACGCCCACGATTATAGGGCGTGCTGGTGTACGGATATCCCATCAAGGTGAGCTACTTTAAACTACCCGCTGGTATGACGAGTGGTTCTGACTTCCCGGTTCCTTCAGGCCGTCATTCATGAAAAGGTAGGCTCTGACCTCATGAGTATACTGCTCGTTTAGCTCATTTGGATCAATTTGGTCCCGGCTGGTTAGTTCGGAGATGGAATCATGTCTCTCATTGATTGCAAGGTTACCGTCGACCGGAAAGCACATGAGAAGGGTGATAGGGTTGTACTGACGTTCGAGTGAGCTCCCAGTCACGCATATACAACCGGAATACTTATCCACCCTGTTATCTAGCGGTAAATTCTTGCCTTATGCTAAATGGTAAACCAACTATAGCCCCAATGCACCTCCCCACGAGACCACAGGACAAGCCAATGACTGTGTATGAAAAAGCAAAGCAAAGCAAATGCATTCTAATCCTTGTGCAGAATACAAACATAGCGTGATTTCTTGCTTTCTAAAATTTGAACATTAAGCCCCTTCTCAACCCAATCAACAAGATACCCATTCGTCTGTTATTTCCTTCTTGATCTTGACCAATAGGCACCCATTATCGCTTAACCGGCCGTGTATGTTGAACAAACGAATAAAACGGTATCCTTCTTGGAGCCTGTCGAGCCTAACACACGCCCAAGCGCCTAGGTCGTCTTTTCCAACCTCTTTGTCCTTGACCAAGAACCTAATATCCAAGTGGCTGAATGTACGCATAAAGGAGAAATGGAAGGCGAAACTAACCGGACAAACGATGCGGCTGGGACGATGCTCGTCGCTTTGAGGACGATCTCCGGTGGGTCGGCCGATTTGATCCCAAGAGTCCCGCGCTCTTCCCATACGACGTCTGGCCCGCGCAACGATTTGGTCTTTCCTGTTACGCCGTGTTCAGGCAAACCGTCAGCGAGGAGTTGAACCTCGACATAACTGGACAAACCCATAAGTGGGGAATATATATATTGGAGTCAAAACGTACGGTTCGAACCCTTGCGCCCCGTCGCGGGGCTTCATGCGCGAAAATAAATCTTTGATCTTGTCCTTTGTACTCTCGCTTTCCTTAGATCCTGGGGTGGCAGGTGGAGTGACCGCAGCCGCGGTAATATGCGCAGCGGCGAGTCCAGCCTCGAGGGTCGTCGTCTTCTTCTCGCCCGTCTCCCCAGTTCCGGAAACGCTAATCTGACTCCCACTCCTCGAATGAGCCTTTCGTCGAGATTTCTCCTCCTTCAAACGGAGCTTTTCAGCCTTCGCG